TTCCAAGTATAATCATGTACAGAACCAATGAAGGTCAAGAGGCATAATTCGTGACATTCATACGTATTATTGTAATGCCATATTTTGTGTCATGAGAATATTCTCCGTTTTGCTTGACTGGGATCTCGCTTGCCGATTAGTTCAGTGTGTTGATTTCTGCTCCATTTTATGCAGTAACAATATGATAATTTAATTGTCTATAAACAGTTGAAAAATTAACGTGGGCTCTAAGAAGTTGAAATAGTCTAGAGTGTGACTTTGCCCTGCATAATTATGAATGTAAAATTTGTTTTTCAGCATAGAATTATTGATAACTGAGCAATAATTGCCATAATAAAGTTAATTTAATTACACTTAAGAGTATGCCATTTTACTTTTTAAATGGTTCAGTGTTATGGCGGTAACAGAACTTAAAACATAATTCACACGTCATGTTAAATGGGGATGAATCAACCAATTGGGGAAATGCGTTCGTTTTCATGACATAAGTTCAATTTGTTCAAATTTTCCAATAATAAATTTAGGATGTCTAAAGGAACGTGCTTCTGTAATAATAAAAATATAAAGAATTTGTGTTAAGAAATTGTACAAATTTAGAGAGTCGAAATTACAAGAAAGGGTATAATTATGCGAACAGGACGAGATCCGATAAATTCTTTGGGATAATAAAATATGACTTCTAAAGTTCAAACAATCTCGCGGGGGTAATGACGTATGTTTCATTTCAACTTACGTAGTAATCCACAGGCTTGGAGTACGTTGAAGCGTACGCTAGGTGCTCGGGTTTAGCGTAAGTTGAAGCGTATGGCTCGTGCTCAGGTTTAGCGTAAGCTGAAGCGTAAATCTCGTGCTCAGGAAGTCCGCGAACTGCAACCGACATAGCCGCAAATAATACCATCAGCTGTGGAAATGAAACAGACAACGGAAAGTACAAATTAACTTGAAAGAGTTTTTCGGCTGCTAATGATATGAAAGTTAGAAATAGAAAACAAAGGAAAGATATCGGAAAATATTCATTTGTAAATAGGATAATCCAGCTTAGGAACCCACTACCTGCATATATTTCATGGACTGTCTCCTGTAAACCAAGTATTTTTAGAAACAGGGGTAGGAAAGTGACAAATAAAAAGAATTGGAGATGTGGGAAGGAGGAAATGTCAGTGCATCAGTTCATGAATATATGAAATAATACTGTATTAGTGTAGAACGTGTTATTTTCTATTTTATTATTATCACAATTTCTTTATTATTATTATCTCATCTAGTTTAGGTTTATTAATAGTATTTATAGTGGTATTGTATTGGGAATTGTGTTTGTATTGTAATGGTATTCATTGTGTACCATGTGACACTTACTGTTGTGTACTTTTCTTTATTCTTGTGTAGTTTTGTGTGCTATGCTTTGTTCGAGCGTGGCGGGTTATTTTATGTGTTGTGTCTTATTGTATTACCACTGCCACCAGGCAAACCCCATTTGTAGTCAAATAATAATAATAACTAATAGTAATAATAATAATAATAATAATAATAATAATAACA